AGAGTTCCTTGAGGGGATCAACTGGGATTTTCTTTTACAAACAAGTTTCCTCATTCGAGCTACTTTAGCAAAAGTTAGCTCAACGTTTTAGGGACTGTCAGAGGGAACGAGCCGTCAATCCCTAGAAATCAACGTTTAGTTTATGAAGTGTGAGACACCTCTTGATTAAATGAATGAAAGACACTGACTGATTTTCGGCGTTTGACTGGAAAATAGAATTGACCCACGTTGTCACCAGCTACGCATGCAGGGACCTGGACCGAAATGAGAAAGGAGAAGGGAAAAAAAGAGGGGGAAAGAAAAAAGGATGGAAAGAAGAAAGCTGCAGAGGAGGAGGAGGAGGAGGAGGAGGAAGGAATGCCAGCCAAGTTCTTGTCCATCTTCATTACGATTCATTTCAGTTTTTATCAGTCACAGAGGAATCTCAGACGTTTGGCTCGATATACTGGCAAACACACAAACACGGACGTGCACACGGATATTTAGAAGAGGCTCAACTCATTTTCATTTAATCAGGAAATAAATTTTACTCTGGACTGTAAAAAAAAATGTGAAAAAAAACCTTAAAAAAGCTTGTTTCAATCTATAATTATACAACTATGAATAAATTGACTGCCAGTATTAGAAAATGACATACTTTCTCAAACTGCATTTTAAATTCAGTGAACTGGAGGAGACCCGGCTGCCCACACATACAGATATTTACGGTCACATTAGATTTCAGTGATATTGCATATGAATATGCTGACACATAGGTACTTTAGAACTTATTTACTGCTCATTAAAATCCCCCTGGGAGCAGATCTCATGGTAATATACGGTACCTCTTAGATTACGAGGATACGTTGGGTGAAAACTTGACACTTTGGCCGAGTGGTGATGGAGGAAAGCTTGTTGACAGTGCACAACATTAAGCGTCTATCCTCCGGGGAGCATGAACACAACCAGTACATTTCATGTTGTCAGATTTCCTGAAAATATTTAGTTAATTAAAGTTCATTTCAGCCTCATGGCAGTGCCAGAGGAAAGCACATGAAATATTATTATTCATCCTCTGGAGAGCACGAATACAGACAGAACGTATCATGCGAATGCAGCTGTTGGGTTTCTTACCACTAAGTTGCAAAGAGCTAACAGACCAATGAGTCTGTTGACCTCATACAAATGTACGATATTATTAATCTGCTTCAGGGTGCATTTACTGCTATAATGTCCAGAAGCTTTGCAGGTCTACATTTGCCAATCTGAGCCCATTATGGTTATATATTTCTTCTTATCGTGGATAAAACTGCATCTTTATTGCTCAGTACAACAGAGGGTAATGGAGATTTCAGATGGGTATGATGACATGCAAAATAGAGAAGGCTGCAACTTGCACTTATCAAAAACGATTCCAAAATAAGCACCTTAAAGGGCCATGCTCAACATAGATGCACTGAGTTAAGTCTATGGCATTGGTATGTTTACTAACAGACAAAGTTGAGAAGACTGAAAAGAATGGAACACAAACCACCGAGCCTCACACCTTGAATTCCAGCTTGTGGATTTAAAAGTAATGTGTTTGTATTTCCCAAAACTGTGGCATCAACATAACAACAATTTGTTTAGCCTGAAGTTTCCGGCCAAGACTCTAATCAGCTTTAAGTTTTTGTGTTGTACAGAATGGCGTCGCATTGAGCACACAAAAGAGGAGTTATTTGATTTAAGAAGCTGGATTCCAGCTACACAGTAAAAATGATATGATCATTAATGTGTTTCCTTTAAATACAAATACATTTTCCCTTTACCTCCAAACAGTTTGTGTTACATAGCACTATAATGTCACGGTCAGCTACTTCTATAAAATGACTCATGGTATTACACATATTGAAGCCTTCATCATGAACCAACACCTCACACTAAAGTTGATTCTCACATGAAGAGACATAGAAAACCACATAGACGCTCACTCCCCCACACACACAAACACACACACACATCTATTTCACCCATCTGGGGGGTGTAGAATCGGATAGCCAAGGTAGGGTGCCGGTGGGGGGGCAAGGAATATAAATGGTGCTCCCGGTTCCCCATTAGCCTGTCTGAGTGGAAGATGGAGGGTGGTGGATGCATGGGGTGGGGTCAGGCTCAGGTGCTGAGCAGACAGGAGAGAAAACATCCTCCCCATCCTCCTCCCTCCTCCTCCCTCCTCCTCCTCTTATCTTAGTTGTTGCACCTTTTAGGCAAGCAACCTCCATCCATCTTCAGTTTGGCTAAACCTGAGCGCTACCTGGAGGCTACCTCTCCAATTCTATTACACCCATCCCAGAGGAAGGTGGAAGGTGTACTGCTGGATGCTAATGCGTTCTTGTGAAACCGGCTCACTTCCTGCTGTATGTAATTTCAGAATTATCATCTCTGTCTTAACTTCCTCTGTGAAATGTCTGCCTCACCAGGGACCTTAATGAATCCAGTGAACCAGGACAAAAGTTATATTTTTAGACACTCAAAAATAGACTTGTAGTCTGCCGCTCATGTGGACTTTCCGATTATTGTTAAGAGGAACTGTTGGGGGAGGTTAGCGCAGGTGTGTGAGTGTGCGTGTGCGTGTGCGTGTGTGTGTGTGTGTGTGTGTGTGTGTGTGTGTGTGTGTGTGTGTGTGTGTGTGTGTGTGTGTGCGCCTGTGCCTGCAGTGTTGTTGATTGTATATGTGTCTGTCCATGAGAGCCAGGAAGAGATGGAGAGAGTGAGTTTCCTTACCTCTCCCCATGGCAGCAGGTGTGTAAATAACAACCTAATAAAAAATGAGGCTGAGTCAAAGTGCTGAGGGACCAGACCGCCACTCATCCATACACTCCCTCCCCTTCTCTTTGTCAAACCCCGACATTGATCCCAGCTCATCTGCTCATTGTCAGCGTTCCCCGGGTGCACAAGGCTCCCTCCCTCCCCTCTGCTCTGCTGGGCCGCTCGTTATAATTCTGGGTCTGTAGGCCGCCAGTGTTGTGGCATAATTTTACCAAGTGTCCTGCTTCCACGCGGGCTGACAGCTGAACCCAATCTCCGCTGCTTCACTCAGCCGGATTAAAAGTGTGCCTCGTTTGCCTCATTGTCCTCGCTGTTGTTGCCTGTTGGCCAAATGAGCCCCTGAACTGCAGGGGACAGTGGGCGAGAATGGCTCTGAGCAATTTTAACCATGAAAAGATGGTCAATCAGAGTGAAAATTCAGACTAACTTCACTTTGATTATAGAATCTATAAAGACATATCCTGAGGTACAAAAAGATCAACTGAATTCTTTGAAGGAAATCAAGTGGACTGTCTTTTTATCATTGCTACTCCTGGAGTAGTTGTGGGTGTATAAGAGCATTTTACTGAAAACAGCTGCCTAAGAAAAATGAGAGCGATGAGATTGAAACAATAGTGAACCAAAATAGTAGAGTTTTGGGCTGTGGAACCAAGACAAAGAGCTAAAAGATGCCAAAACGTATCATAAAGCTATAAACCTTAAAGCCTGGGCTGCATGTGCATGATTATGGACCTTTCCAGTGGGCCTACTTGTTATTCCACACCTGTCCACTAGTTGCTATTCTTCTGGTATTTATTTTGTTACTACATTTGATTTCAGTAGACTTTTTATTGGCTTGTCGGATAACTTTATATTGGCCCATTAAAAAAAATCAATATAAATGAGAGGGTAACGAATGCAAAGTTCTCCACTGAAAATGTTGTATGCACCCTTTAAAGGTTCAGTGTGTAGAATTTAGTGACATCTAGTGGTGAAGTTGCATGTGGCAGTCTGTGGTGGATGTCAGTCGTCTGCAGCCATCTTGTCTGCAGCCAGGTCTCTCTCATTCTTTAACCAATCACACATTTGAATAGTTATAAATTGCTCCGTTTCATTTGGCTCTTTTTCATCATGAGCTCCATATGAGCGATTGTGTTTCGCTGATTTTATTCTGCCTTTGTGTTTTCAGTTATTTCTGTATGCCGCCCTGATGCATCATTTTGTTACTGTTGTGTTTCCTTGGCAATTAAGTGTGATTCTTAAAATTGGCCCTTTCTGTTGAGCAGTTTTCTTTTTCTTCAGTAAGTCAACAAACAAAAGGTCAAAAATAACACATTAGTAGTCACTGTCTCTAAAATCTACTGACGCTCTTCCTCCCTCCGCCCGTGCCTCCTCTCACTGAACGATCGGGTAATGAAATGGCCGGTTAGTTACTCAGCTGATTTGCATAATAATATTAGTTGACCTTTTTGGTTTGATTAGTTTGGTTTGTGAGACTTTCAGGCTACGTAGAGATGAATGTTCTCCAGTTCTGTAGCTAATGTTTAGCGGTTGTTTGGAGCACAAGATTTATTACAACGCGCTGTGTGTTGTGGTGGCACAGTAAAATGCTGCAGCCCTATGATATCAATCAGTGGAATAGACTTACTCATTTGGGAATTAGTTGATGTTTACCCTCTGAGCTGCTGGGAACATATGATCTAAATTCTAATCTGCTTCTTTAACTGAATAACAGAGGAGCATACTTCGCCATTAATATTAGGGCTGGGCACATGTTCGTGGGAGTTCACTGCACAGTCTCCCTGCTGTTGCTTTTAGCTGATAAAACACAGTGGGTTGATATGGGAATAACTGCTGTGTGATAAAATCCTTCTAATGTGGATAGTGTTGTCTAGGAATGTGCATGAGTCAGCAAGTCCAAAATTTCTATTCTTCCAAAAACAGAAAACAAATAACTCAATAACCCAATATTAAGTCAAAGCAATTACACTTAAGATATTAGATATAATTACTCAGGCAAATATCAATTAGAAGCAAAAGAAAATGAAAGACTTGACTTGAATGATGTTTGTGAGCGTGTGTGTGTGTGTGTGTGTGTGTGTGTGTGTGTGTGTGTGTGTGTGTGTGTGTGTGTGTGTGTCAGCCCGTGCCTCACCTTGTTAATGAGGGGGACCCCCCCCACCTTCTCTCCTCTCCTCCCATTCTCCCTCCCTTTCTCCCTCCTCCATACATCGGAGGCTGTGAGCTGCAGCGGCGGCAGAGAGCGGTGCGGATCCCCGTGTGTGTCGGTCTCCGGAGGCGGGGCGGACATCTAGCCGGACCTTAACTGTTGTGGATCTCCATCCATCGAACCCATACACACGCATCCACATACATTTTCACGCAGACTGGACAAAGACACTTTAACACCCCCGGCTGGGATTCAGATTCACTCACCACAGGTAAGCTCTTCATGGGTTTTTTTTTTTTTTTTTTGCACAAGTTTCCATCCGTATCCACAGATGAGATGTTGGTGCTGGAACAGGTCGCTCCACCAGCCGTGTTCCGTGGCACGTTGTGTGCAGTGTGGGACGATAGGGTTGTGCTATTATCACAATCATGTAGTTAATTGTTATGTTAATATACAGGAAGAGTGGGGTTTAAAGAAGAAGTAGCACAGTTTAACTTGGGGGTCACGTCTCAGAGCCGACGCGCTGATGAGAGGTGTCCACTCGTCTTTTACGCACATGGTTCCACATTTTCATCACAACGAGCACATGGACGAGTCTAGAAGTTTTCTGCTCAATATCAAGATGCTTTTTCTAAATTAATTCAGGGAATTATCAGGTGTGCGTAAAAGTATCGCTAATTATTTCTCTTATCTTCTTTGCGGAGCAGCTTCAGCAGTCTCTCGTCCATCTTTTTACGCACCACCAGCTTTGCATCGCCCAGAAAGTTTTCATATATTATGGTCGCTCTCTTCAGGACACGCTATTGACGAGCTTATAACCCATCATTCCAGTCTTCACTTTCACTGCTCCGTCCGCCGACAGAGAAGCGCTTTTCTCTCTCATAGAGACTTCAGCTTAAAACCACAGGAGGTGAATGCTGCTGTGCTTCTTAGTGGTGAAACTGACACAGGCTGCAGAATCTTTTAAATAGAAGAAACAGAATGTTTAACTTATGAAGAATAGAGAAAAGAAAAGTTCAATCAGGCACAGAACACAACCCAGAAAAGCAGCCTTTAAGTGGATTAAAATTAAAACTTAAATTGTAGTGTCACTCTGATTGGACAGTATGTTGCAAAGGCTCATGGGAATGTTAAGTGTTTTGACTGATGTTTTGTGTTTGTTCAGACTTGGTTCATGTGGGGTTTTGTGTTTTTGTGTTTGTTGGGTGGTAATGTTGTGTTTATTAAAGTTCACTTGTGCAGTCACCAGGACTGTGGGATGTAGTGTCTGTTATCGGGCTGATGATCAATTAAGCTTGATGTTGTGCGGTGTATGGGACGCAAGAAAAGTCTTGCACAGATGATATCTACTCAAGTTTCATCCTGTTCTCTTGTGCTCATCATATGTTTTCATCTCCCTTGACCGAAGTACGTGAAAGTAGGTAAATATTAAAGCAAAGTACTTCACATGAATAGTTGTTCAGAGATAGTGGCTGAATATCTCAGGGGGGGGTAAAGGTTTACCTAACTGATGACTCAAGTGGTTAAAAATTCGAAACGTAGTTTGGCATACTGCTCTACAGAAGAAGACTTATGGGAGTCATTACGGTTAATAGAGTTACTGTATGTAAGTGCTTTATACCTGTCAGTCAAGGTTCCACTTGAATGATGTGCGTGTGTGTGTGTGTGCGTTGGATGGAGAGAGTTAGTGAGTGAGGGCTTTTTCTCCTGAATCAGTTTTCTGTAGAATCAACGATGGATAAAAAGGTCTTAATATTGTGGGATATTTAGTCAATACACAGAGAACCTCAATCGTTTCTTTAATATCACCCCAAAGGGTGTTCTTCTGAAGTCTAAGATGTAAACTGTGTCTGTCGGTGGGACCCTTGTGCAGTGTGTCCAGGTCTGTAGCCCACACAAAAACACCATAGCACTCTACTGCAGCCTCTGGCGACTGGTGATAAGACTCGAGGGGCTGACTCCCAATACTGAACCCTCAGAGTGCCGTGAAGCTGCCGGGGCAGGCTCTGTGACCGTTTTGATTAGGGGATAATAAACCCATTTATCGGGGGCTTTCAGGTGACGTAACGCAGCTGAGGGGAGATAGAAGTAGAGTTTCCCGCTAAGCTCTTATTTCTGGTACTCTTGGTGGTATCATGACAAACTGCAGCAGAGAGAAGAGGAATGTGCGTCTGTGAATTCATGTTGGGGTGTGAGTTTGACTGTCTGGAGAGTGTAATAATTTTGGTGATAAGTTTTGAGGGAGACACCAAATACAGCATTTGCTGAAGGCAGGAGATATGAGGGTTTAACAGGTAATGTGTTTGGTTACATGGACATTTACCCTCATTTCCACAGTGAACGCTACTGGCGGTCTGTATGAACAGATATGGTCTTTGTAACATGCCCCCTGGCAACTTCTGTAAATCTGTTGCCAAGGGGAATTTTCTTTACGTCGATACGTTAACCTCCAAAGCACTGAAGCCTGTTACTCCTAAAGCACGGCAACAACTAGCGATAACTCCGTACAGCTCAAGCTGATGCAGCTTACATTTCTATTTGATGTGCTCATTTATTAGGAAACAAATTTACACCAGTAAAATATTCACTTTTATTTTTAAACATTTCTGAATCACTCAGCTCATGCATCACTAACACACATTTGTAGAGCAGTCATCTACTGAACCATTTTTGCACATTTGCCGTAATTCTATGAGAACTGGGATCCAGCGATGTAACAGTGATGTGGACCTGACCCGTCAGAGGGCTCCACTTATTGATTACCCATCGATCTTCACTGAGGATTTATTGATAGCAGTTAGAGAACAAGAGACGTGTAGTGTAGTTTCTTTAAAGAGCAACTTAAGAACCTGTTTTCAGAAACTAAATTTCCTGTGACTGCTGGCAGTTGGTTGCTGTTCCAGGTTTCCTCTGTCTCTCCCTCTGCCCATAGCAACACTCTGTTGGCATTTTCAGATGTTTTAATATCCGTCACTGACATGAGGCTTAACCAGAATTCATAGAACTACATAAGTAACTCTGGTTATAATGTCTATATCAGGGGAGGGGAACCTTTCTCCTATCAGGGGTCATTTCATTCTTTCTAACATCCTTAAGGCCATGCAAAATGATTTAACATATATATATCACACTGACCTCTCTAAAGCTGCTTTCAGACATGCACAACTCCGGAATTTCTCCAGAGGACGTGTATCTGTGAATGCAAATGTCCGAGTGTGAGTCTCTGGAGTTTCTGCTGACTTTCTCCGCCTGGCCTCCTGTAGCATAAAGTCTGCAGAAACTTAAGAGGAGCCGATGTGAGAACACTGCAGGAGATCCTCTGCAGGATTCAAGGCAAGCGAGAGGGGGTGTTGATGATGCTTCTCACGCAAAAATGAAAAAAAGAAAACAAATATCTCAGATATCTCAAGACACAGGCAACTAGTCAAGAGAGTTTGTGTTGATACTGTGTTGATGTGCTGTAAACAAAATCATGAGATCTCCGCAGCAGAATTAATAATTTACGTCCTGCCTCTGTCTGCTGCACCGCCCCTTACCTGAGTCCTGCGGAGGATTTATTGCTGTTGTGAACGTGTCTGTGCAAAGAATCTCCCGCTGCGATGTCCGTGTGTGAAAGGAAAGCTGCGGAGAAAGTCCTGATTCAATTCTCCGGTGTGTTTCCATCTGAAAACAGCTTAATGCAAAGCGTCTGATGTCAGGTGGTAGTGATGATGATGTTCCTCACAGCTCGTTTTCCAGGTTTGGGTCACACGTTCTTGAGCAAATCCATTTTAAGGAAAACTGCATAAGGTCATCTTAAACAGAGATGCAGACTTCAGTGCATGTTTTATGTTGTTGGTTTTCATACATCAGCCGTTTCATCATCAAACAGCTGTTTGCTGTTCATGTCCTGAAACATCACGACCAATGCCCGAAGGATTTTGGAAACTCACCACGTTCACATGTAATTGCAGACTTTTGTTTTCGCAGTGTTGGAAGATGCAAAAACTGAATTGAACTAATCCTCACCTTTGTCTGACAACAACACTGATTCCTCCCTCGTATCAAACTCGGCAGTGATCCCAACCGAACACACTGACACTATCCCTGTCAGAATGTGATAACTTTATCTAAGACCATTTGTCCTTGGATCTCCAGTTCAGCTGCGTGTTTCCAGCTGGGATTGCACATGGCCTTTTTCGTCAGTTTGAGCACGTCCCCGCAAACTATTTCATCCAAATATAAAAGTTGGTTCATTTCTCTTGGAAAGAACGACTTTCTGCATCTTCTTTTCTTTTCTTTTCTTGAAAGTCAGTATGATCCTTGTCAGCTACCGTGTGTTCGTTTACCTTGACCATGAAGTGACAGGGTACAGCTGGAAGGGACCACCCTGAAGGACATCTTCAATTTTATGTTGTTTTGTGTTATCACAGAAAAGATTTATTGCTGTCATGAGAATCTTATGTATTTCTGAGAGTAAACATAAATTGTCTCTTGGGATGTGTGCAGCCTGGAGACCGAAGGTTCCCCACTCCTGGTCTATATGGTGGTATAGCTGGTAACAGCTCAAGTTGCATTCACTCAACATGAAGCATCTTTTCTCGTCACTGACCCTGATTCTCAGTCCTTCACTGACGGCTAAGATTGTGGTTCAGACCTGATCAAACCACTAGCCTACAGTTAGCTTAGCAAGGCAGATTCAGCAGAGGAAAGTGATGGAATTGAGAAAGTGATTTTGCCTCATTGATTTTTCACAGCTGAAGGGTCAAGTTGATAGAATTACTGAAAATAACTTGAACTGGGGCCTGGATCAACTGACAGCTAAAATAATGTTCTTTCTCATACTGAAGTTAACCTTCAAAGATATTTTTATGGTCATTTATTTGGAATTATTGGAGTTTGTCAGTTTGGTACCGTCTTCAGGAACCCCCAGACGTCCCCCGATCTAACTTTGAGAACCCATCCAATGAGTGAAAGTCAATGTCTGATTAAAAAAAGGAAAATAAATCTATGGGAAATGCTTGACAACTGACAAGGTGGTATGCATGGCCGAGTGTGTGTGGTGCAATTTCTGTTTCCATGCGTGTGTGTGTGTGTGTGTGTGTGTGTGGGAGGGAGAGGTTGCTGCAGTTTTAGTATAACTCTCAGATATTAGGCCCTGTCATGTTCGGTAAATAGCCATTCATCAAGCATGCCTCTCTGTGTGATGGTACCCACAAAAGACCCAATCCATTAGCCATGGGCTGGGTGTCCCCTCAGAATGTGATAGTGTGTGTGTGTGTGTGTGTGTGTGTGCACGCACATTCATAGCATAATTTACTATAATGCCTGACCTGAGACAGTGCATGTGCATTTGAAAGAATGAAGGAGAAAATGCATGTACTTTGAAGAAATTCAATATTATTATAACCAGACTCTCTATACAGATACAGAATCTGACCGTGGGTGTGTGTGTGAGTGTGTGTGTGTGTGTGTGTACATTTGTGTAACTAGGCAGAGCATTGATGGATGATATGTTAAACTGATAATGATAATGACACTGCACAAAGACACACTATCCTTGACTCTCTCTCAACCATTTTCCTGCACATTTTCTCCCTCTCTGAAAAACCCACTCATCTCTGCAGTGCACATCCCATCACCGAACACTGCTGTTGGCATGTAGAGAGTGCAGATAGACATTCACGACATGTTGAGCCATGAGCCGCACGGTGAGGATGTAATGATGCAAGAGAGCTTCATGCTTTCCCCTCACTTCCACCATCTCATTGTGCAAGCACCTCGAATGACCAGTAGGGAGCACTAGACCACTCAAAAAACAGGATGGTGGAATTGGATGATGCAAAAACCAGCATTATGGAGAGTTTATCATTGAACTCTCAATCTCAAAGTGCTTTTTGTTATTTATTTATACAATACTCAGGAAATACAGGACGACTAAGCATGAGGCACTTGAGCTGCTTTCAGACATGCTCGGAACTCTGCAGATCCTCCGTGTTTTCTCCGGAGGAGGTGCATGTGTGAACTCAAATGTCCAAGTGAGAGGCCTCGTGGTTTCTGTGGACTTTCTCCACATGGCCTCCTCGTAAAAAGTCCATAGAAATTCAGCAGAAAACAGACAATAGAGTTTGTGGTGATAAGAGCTGATACCGGTGTGAAGAAAACCTCCCACTGCGTTGTGCATGTGTGAAAGACAGACAGGCTGTGTCTGAAAACGGCTTTGCAGACAAATATTTTGGCTTAATTTCTGGATTCGGTGGGGAGCGGAGACATGTCTTCCATTTTAAGTTCTAGGATACAAATATTGGTGGACACCACTGACCGTAAACATACCTTTGGTTTGTTAACAAGGAAACACGGGTATCACAGGGCTCCTTTAATGGAAAATACAATGGATGTGTGGAGTGGTAGAACAAATGCACACAGAAACACGGGATGGTTAATAAATTGGTAAGCTGTAACATAAATTACATGTGATTTGGAGTAAATGGGCTACAGCAGCGGAAGCACACGGCCTTCTGTTCATACCACAATGAGTTGTGATGTTGTGATGTGCAGCTTTTCTGTGCTATCATTCATTTTTAGGCAGCACTGATCCTTGCAGATGTGACCAGATGATACAATTTATTTCATGCAAACCTTCACAGCTGAATGGAAAGTTTAATTTGAGCTTTACTTTCTGCCTTCCTGTGTGAGGGGATACCCTTCACTGGCTCTGACCATAAATCATACATCAATTTATTCCACGTGAAGGTTTATTCCCAGGGATACTGGGCTGTAACAGGAAGAATCCCCTGCTGGCTTCCCGGCAATAAAAACACAGTCAATTGTGTTTGCACAGACCATCCGTTGTTATCATTACCTCTGTTTGAACCACAGATCTCTGCAGTTTTAGATATGACTTTTATTTCTTCACCATCCATGCATCAAACTTTCTATATTATGTCTATTACCCCCTCCACCTGTTCACATAATGCTTTTAGCCACTAACCACTCATCTGCCATTCCCATAAGATTTGTACTTGCCACCTTTCACAGGATGACATGCGCGCTGCTCGTCTCTGTTTACCTGCAAAGACTGAACTTCTTATTTCTGTCTGTGATTTTGTCTTTCTTTCCAACTGTTTCCTCTTTTTTTAATCTACATAGAGCGTTCCACAGTAAGGTCAGAGAAAGCTTGTTAAGACGCCAGTGCTGAAGTTTGCTATTCTAAATGGAGATAATGGATCCATTTCCACAGATCAGCTTCACAGCTTTAAGTCTGCTGTGTAACACACACACACACACACACACACACAAAGAGATAGAGAAAGGGGCTTGCAAACTCACAGTGGAAGAGCATCCAAAAAACAATTTGTCTGTCAGTCTCCCTGTCTAAAGACTTGTGATATTGCCTACAGGCTACAAGTGGAATGCATCAGTAGAGGCAAACGAGAACGCAAACAGAAGTAAGAAAAATAAATAATTTGTCTGTTGGTGCCGCATTATACAGGCTCATGGACACACTGTGAATCCGGTGTCTTGTGGGACTTACTTGAAAAACCACTTAACGTCAAGATAAATGAAAACACTTTGGGATATTTGTGCATATGATTTATATTTTGGCAGCTGCTTGTAATGTGATAACTTGATATAATTTTTTAAATCTCAGAAGAGGATCAGCTAATGCCATCGATGCTGGAGTTGTTTGTAGGTGTGTGTGTGTGTGTGTGTGTGTGCGTTCAGCTCCGTGAGACAGGACATAAATTCTGCCTGCCCCTCTGTAATAATAAAAAGTTTTACATCAATTTGAACTGACACAGGCTAAGTTATGGTGATTGCCACGCCTCTCCATGTCCAGCTGATACTCAGCTCTTTTCTCATTTCTCCATTGATCTATCCAAAGCCATGAGTCACCGGGGGCATCTTCTCCCTCGGAGGGATGACTATCACCAATCAATTCAACAGCTTTAGCTGACAAACAACAGAAGGAAACCATGTGGGGCAAATGTGCCGAAACAGGCGCTATTTTGTCATTCTCTGCTGCTGTGATTGTGGATTCAATTTCCAATCTCTCTCTCTCTCTCTCGCCCACAGAACCAGCCTGTCTCATTCCTGCTTCTATCGACAGCTGACCTGTAACCAGTTGGAGAGAGAGAGGAGCAAATGGAAAGGGAGCAGCAAGAAGGAGGATGAGCGAGAGAAAGCAGGACCCGAGAGATTCCTCATGCCCATTGGGAGCCCCTCGCTCTGCAGACTGCTGATTTAAAAAAGAATAAAGGGGACTTTGCCTAAAGAGGCCCAACAGGATTTTGACTTCTCTTCAGCGTGTTGTCCTTTAGCGGGAGTCCTCCCTTTTGTCTCGGGAGGAGCTGTCATGACAGTACTCTGAAAATAGAAATAAGTTCTTTTTTTATCCATTTTACCCAGAATCCAACTACTGCTTTTTACCTAAAACAATTATTTGCCATGGAGAAGACATACTCACTAACTGCCCACTATGATGAGTTCCAGGAAGTAAAATACGGCGGTCGGTACAGCAGTGACATCCTAAGCAATGGCATGACCCTTCACCTGGGGGGCAGCCTGGACCGCCATATGGGGCGAAGCCGAGGAGGCACTTTGTCAAACGGTCGAAACAAAGATCCAAGCAACGCCAGCAACAGTGGAGGGCTTCCTCGATGGAGCCGGAGGGAGATCTGCCTCCTCTCTGCACTGGTCTTCGCTGCAGGCATGTGTGTTATCTTGGGGAGCATGCTGGCACTCAAGTACATTTCCCTGGACGCCCAGCAGGACCCACAGTGCCGACAGGACTGCCAACGCAAACGCTCCCTGCTGCGCACGGCTCGCTTCGTTCAGTCCAATATTGACCCAACCATCCAGCCCTGCCAGGACTTCTACTCGTTTGCCTGTGGCGGTTGGTTGAGGCGCCACGGCATCCCAGAGGACAAGCTCAGCTATGGCATCATCACGGCTATAGGGGAGCACAACGAGGAGAAACTACAGCACCTCCTTCTGGAGCCAGTACGGAGGCGTGGGCACAACTCTGCAGAGCGCAAGGTCAAGGAGTTCTACAGATCTTGCGTCAACATCCAGGAAATCGACAAGCTGGGCTCTGACCCCATGACGGAGGTGATAGACAGCTGTGGGGGGTGGGACCTGGTGGGGGCTCCTCCGGGTTCTGCTGGGTGGGAGAGCGATGGTGCGCCACAGAGGCCGGACTTCGATGAGCTATTGTACAGGACACAGGGCGTGTACAGCACTGCCGTCTTTTTCTCCCTCACTGTCAATGTGGACGACAAAAACTCCTCCAGGAACGCTATCAGGGTGAGAAGAAGGATGATTGGAAGCTGTGTGTACTTGTGAATGCATGATGTGAGTTAATGAAGCCACAAACGTGGTGTCAATGTTAATTTTATTTATGTAGCACATTTTAAACAACTTGTTTGACCAAAGTGCTTCACAAAGTATAAAAGAAAGGTTGTAAAAGTATTGATTGTTAGGTGGAAAGAAGACAGTCATGGGAGATTGAAGGTTTGTTCAGACGAAACACAAAGTGAATTTCACATGATGTATATGAATTTGTCCACTGGTGAGACTCCTTTAGTTCCTGTGCCTTATTATGACCTAAAGTGTCGGAGTGAATGCAAAATTCACTTTGCATTCACTCCGAACACGCCTTAATACTCAAGCCTTTATTTAAGGTGCATCAACAGCTCTGAAACGAACCAAACGTTTCTTGTCAGGTTAGCTGTGCAATACCGGATCTGAGTCACAGTTCAGCTGAAACGTCCAATAAATAAAGCTGTGAGTCTCAGACAAGCCTCATAGACCAACCTTTATTAAAGCAAAACTGAGATTAAATAACAGATGAAATGTCACTCCAGTGCACACGCTGCAGGAATTATTTATGAAGGTCATAGATAATTTATGTGTTTAGCACATGTGTCACAGCTTGCACAAACTGGCATCATTACAATCGTTTGAAAATACATAATATGTTACATATGTGACTATCTGACCGTGTGTGTGTGTGTGTGTGTGTGTGTGTGTGTGTGTACAGGTTGATCAGGAGGGGCTCACACTCCCAGAGAGAAGCCTCTATCTGGGACAGGATGAGGACAGTGTGAAGGTAAACATGCCTCATTTATTTTGGTCAGTTACACATTTTGTTGTTATTCAGACTAAGTCTCACCTTTAATTTAAGTTGGTTTACATCAATATATAAAGGACTGTGTGGGAGTCACACAGTTTAATGGGCCAAAATCCTTTGCTCACTAAGAGGAAAGACAGTGTCCCGTACTCAGTGTGTGTGGAGCGGCCCACATATGGAGGCATGACTCCTCCTGCAGCAGCCAGGCTCCAACCTGGCCGTTTGCCGTCCTCCCCGACAAACGATCTTAGAAGAAAACCACTGCAGTCACTGACCTGCAAAGTTTTCAACCACAGACCATCAGCAAACACTCTACCCTGGAGAGTCACTGTCAGAGCATCGCTGCAGCTGTCCTCCACCGGCTCTCTGCTTTTAGCCTGGGCCTCAGAAGAGGAATGAGACTACTGACCTCAGCCTAAACTCTCACCTCTCAATCGACTCTGAGCCATGTGTGAGCTCTTTTGAGCATTAACTATTGTTGAGACAACACAGCGGCCTGAGAAACATTAGTGGCCAAGTGTTCAATTACATTTGAACCCTTTTAATTTGGGCAGTATTTGTTTTAAGGGCTTAATCTCACACACGGCTCTTTCCACACTGACGTTCACCCACTCAAATGAAAGCTGACACTTGGCACTTTAATGTAGTGTCTATTATTTAATTTCAAATTTAATGTGCTGAAGCACAGAGCCTGAAGAGCAATAACTGAGCACATACTGAAGGTCTGGAAAGTATTTAACTAACCCTTCCCTGTCCATCCCTCCTTCCCATCATTTCATTTTCTCTCACTTTTCCCTCTGCTATCGTCCCCTTCATCATCTTTCTTCTACCTTTACCTCAAACTTGAAGCTCTTTAGGTTCTTTCCCTCCTTCCTAACCTCCCCTCCTACCATTCTCTTCTCTTTTCTTCCTCTTCCACTCTGTCCTTCGTTTTCTCTCATCTACCGTCTGTCTTCCTGAACCATCTCTCTCTCGTCTTCATCAATCCACCTGTTTTCCTCTGTCACCCGCTGTGCTTTTGTTATCCTGTCCACTTTGCCACATGTCAGCCCCCGTCGCTGGCCATTACTGATGATGTTGCGGCTCCTCCTGCCTATTAACGCTGATGTCGCTGTGCTTCTCAGATCCTGGCGGCGTACAAGGCCCTGATGGAGCGCTTGCTGAGCATGCTGGGAGCTCAAGAACCCACGCAGAAGTCCAAGGAGATTATACAGCTGGAGACTCGTCTGGCCAATGTGAGCTTATTGCGTGTGCATGTGAGAGTATGTGCGTGTGTGCATTGTTGTGTAAAATCTCCTCTCTCTCCAGATCACTGTGTCAGAATATGATGACCAAAGAAAGGACATCAGCACCATGTACAACCGCATCACCCTGAGGCAGCTACAGCGCATTGCTCCTAGTGTGGGTACTACACACACACACACACACACACACACAC